TATATTGAATATATAGCAATATTCTCAATTTCATTGTTCCCTCACATTCAAATATTTAAATGTTTCAGCTCAAGTGTTTCTTTTCTTTTTTAAAAAGATTTATTGTATTTATTTGAAAGACAGAGTTGCAGAGAGAGGTAGAGACAGAGAGGGAGGTTGAGGTCTTTCATCTGCTAGTTCACTCCCTGAATGCCAGTGGCTGGAGATGAGCCATTCTGAAGCCAGGAGACAGGAGCTTCTTCTGGGTCTCCCACATGGGTGCAGGGACCCAAGCACTTGGGCCATCCTCCTGTGCTTTCACAGGCACATAAGCAGGGAGCTGGATCAGAAGTGGGGCATCCGGGACTCGAACCAGCACTCATAGGGGATGCTAACGCTGCAGGCTGGGGTTTTAACTTGCTGTGCCACAGTGCCAGTCCCAGCCCAAATATTTCACTGAGTCTGTCTTTTTGCTTGCAGAACAACATACCTCTCTTCAAGCAACGTTTTTGGAATTTATTTTCCAGTAAATTATATAGACATTCTTCTTTGAAGGTTTCAGGGGCTGTGAATTGTGGCGCTGTGGATAAAGCTGTCTCTTGGGACACCAGCATCCTCTATTAGAGCACCTGTTCAAATCTTAGCTGCTCTACTTCCAACCCAACTTCCTGTTAATGCATCCTGGGAGGTGAATGGGCCCTTTCCATCTATGTGGGAGACCTGGATGCAATTCTGGGCTCCTGGTTTTGGCCTGGCCTAGTCCTTACTATTGGTGGTCATTTGGGGAATAAACCAGCAGGTGGGAGATTTCTGTCTGTCTGTCTGTCTCTGCCTCCCTACCACCTTCCCTTCCTCCTCTCTCTCTCTTTCTGTGCCTTTCAAGTAGATGGAAGTAAATAAACATTTTGAAAAAAAGGTTTCACCAGATTTAGTTGTGCAGTATCATAGGACTTTTCAATTTCATTTCAACTCAGTTTAGAATGTAAATTTATTCCATTAAAAGTAAGAGCTTAATGAATAGAAGTTTTTTTTCTACAGTTGAGATATTCCATGGTTTTATTTACTTGAGTGTGAGGGTACAAGCAAGAACATACTAGCTCTCATCTGCCCACAACAAGTGGGTCTGGCCAAGTCTGAATCTGGGAGCTGAGAATGCCATCAAGTTCTCCCATGGATATGGCATGGACCAATTCCTTGAGCTGTCACCACTGTCTCCCAGGGTCTTCATTAGCTGAAGTCAGGAGCTGTAGCCAGGAATCAAATCCAGGCCCTCTGATGTTGGACATGGGCATCTTAACTGCTACGCTAAATGGCAGCTGCTCACATCTTTTAATTCCATTTTTCATGAACTTTTTGAAGGCTTCTCATGTATTCAAAGAAAACGAATCAGTATGTTGAAGGGGTACCTGTGCTCCTAAATTTATTGCAGCTTTAATCACAGTAGCTAAGATATGGTATCAGTCCAAATGTCTATTCATGGATGAATGGAGAAAGAAAATGTGGTGTATATAAACAATGGAATACTAGGCAGGCTTAAAAAGGAGGAGATTCTGTCATTTGCAAGAACATGGAGGAACCTAAGTGAAATAAGCCGTGCACAGAGAGACAAATGTCACGTGGTCTCACAGAATAAACGGCGGTTACTAGAGGCTGGGGGCTGGGAGGATTGGGGAGATGTAGGTCAAAGGACACAAAATTTCAAGTTATGAGGCATAAGTTCAAGAGATCTATTATATATAATGGTGACTGCAGTTAACAACAATATATTACATACTTGAAATGTGTTAAGACAGTTTGATTTTAAGTGTTCTCACTACAAATAAATATGTGAGGTGAACACGTATTAAACCACTTGATCTAGCCATTCCATAATGCATATCTATCTCTCAAAATATGTCATACATCATAAAGATATAGTTTTTACTTGCCAGTTAAAAACATACAAACATTTTCAGTGTTAAATCATGTGCACATTAGGGCCGGCGCCGCGGCTCACTGGGCTAATCCTCCGCCTTGCGGCGCCGGCACACCGGGTTCTAGCCCCGGTTGGGGCGCCGGATTCTGTCCCGGTTGCCCCTCTTCCAGGCCAGCTCTCTGCTGTGGCCAGGGAGTGCAGTGGAGGATGGCCCAGGTGCTTGGGCCCTGTACCCCATGGGAGACCAGGAAAAGCACCTGGCTCCTGGCTCCTGCCATCGGATCAGCGCGGTGCGCCGGCTGCAGCACGCCGGCCGCGGCGGGCATTGGAGGGTGAACCAAAGGCAAAGGAAGACCTTTCTCTCTGTCTCTCTCTTTCACTGTCCACTCTGCCTGTCAAAAAAAAAAAAAAAAAATCATGTGCACATTAAACCCATTCCATAATAACATATTGCTCACCTAAAAAAGAACCAAGACAAATGCTTAGTCAGGATGTCGAGATAACAGCATCACCTTGGACATTCCCAGCAAGGGCTCTCCTGTCTAAAAAGCCCCTCCTGAGACGGCCCAGCCTCATCTCTGCTACTCTGCCCACCTGTGGCCTTGGCCCACCTAGCTTTCTTCTTCAGTAGACTCATGTTATTCACTAAGGGCCTTTGCTGCTTCTCTGCCTGGAACACTTTTCCTTTCCTTCTCTATTGGCTCATTTCTTCTTACCCTACAACTCTAGACACTAGCATCAATTTCTCTTGGCATCTTCTCTCTCCAGTGTGCTCATGGTCGTAGCCCTTCCATGTCAAGCCATACCTGTTGGATTGTTCTTTTTTCACCTCTTCAAAATCATTTTCATCTAATTTCCTAGTATTTAAGAATCCTGCTCTTTGCTTCCACACTGAGTTTTTGGATAAACTGATCTGTACTAGGTGATACATTGTCGCTCCCCCTCTTCGTGGAGGAACGACACAGGACCCTGCGTTGTTTTTCTGCTCGGCCCTTCCCGGGTTTGCTGCTGGTTCTTCCCGGGTTGGCTACCGTCCCTTCCACCTCCGTGGAAGGGCGGTTCCCCCTGCCACTTTCCCCACTTCCGCGGGGGAGCGGCACACCACCGGCCGGCTCTCTCGGGGGCTGCACAGGTGTTCCTTCAGATAGATGTTCCCCTTAGATGTTCCCGGTGCATGTTGTCTCTCTCCTCCTTTATAGTCCTCTTCCACCAATCCCAACTCTGCTACCCACACGCCGAGTACGCTGCTCTCCTCCAATCAGGAGCAGGTCCTACAGTTTACTGGTTGAACTGGAGGCAGCTGTGTAGAAGCTGTTTCTCCCTTCTCAGCGCCATATTGTGGGAGAGCAGATGCATAGAATAAGTCTTAATTCCAGTAACTTAGTCTAGTCCGAGTTGCTTCCCACAATACATATCATGACAAATTGCTTATCTGTTCCTTAAAACACATTTATACTTCACTGAGGCCCACTGGGGCAGTGGTGTTTGAAGTGGATGTGCACACACTTGAGAGTGCACAAGTTTATTTATGTAGTGAAGGTGGAAGTCGTACTTTTTACTGAACAAAAATAAGAAATGAAAGGTTTCTAATATTTAAGATTTTGGTTGAGAAAGTACATGGAGGTAACTATAAATCCGATTGGAAGCTGGTACTGTATACTAACTTTTTATTAATGCAATGCTCCATCATAAGGATTTGAAGTCTCTTCTTGTAGAGGCACAGTGATGTCCCTAGAGGATACCTCTGAAAATTTCCTGCAGTAGGCCGGCGCCGCGGCTCAATTGGCTAATCCTCTGCACCCCAGGTTCTAGTCCTGGTTGGGGCGCCAGATTCTGTCCTGGTTGGGGCGCCAGATTCTGTCCTGGTTGCTCCTCTTCCATTCCAGCTCTGTGGTGTGGCCCGGGAAGGCAGTGGAGGATGGCTCAAGTGCTTGGGCCCTGCACCCACATGGGAGACCAGGAGAAAGCACCTGGCTCCTGGCTTCGGATCGGTGCAGCGTGCTGGCTGTAGTGGCCATTTGGGGAGTGAACCAATGGAAGGAAGACCTTTCTCTCTGTCTCTCTCTTTCTCACTGCCTAACTGTCAAAAAAAAAAAAATTTCTGCGCTATAGTGGTTAATATATATCAGGCTAACATAATCCTATGTGACACACACTATTCCCTATACTAGACAGGCATCAACATACTCATTCTTCACAACTAATTCATGAGATTGGTATGATTATTAGCATTTTTTTTTTGGTGAAAAAATTGAGCTCAAGAATCAGGCAACTTGTTCAAGGGACAGGGCTGGTGTGTGGCAAATGCATATAGGACTGTAAGATCTGATTCCCGAGGCCAGTTGCTTGCACCCTGCTCTATACAATACCATGCTGTGATACCTGTATGCTTCCACATGATAGACCCATGTGGTTTCCAGGAGGAAAGGCATCCTGTTTTGTTCATTGTGTTCTTCTTAATAAACAGTTCTTAAATGAATGAAGGAACTTAAGGCCTAGCATTGCCTCTGATGGGAACTTCGGATAAATATGGTTTTATTTTTAACTTGAAACCATTTTTCCCCTTGAAATAAATGGTTTTGATGAGAAATTGACAGTCCTGTGTTTAGAAACTTTACATTAAAAAATTCTGCAAGCCTCACACTGATGAGTCAGCTAGGAGTCCCAGCCTATCTTTGGTGTAACTAATAGTTTTCTTCCCTTTATCATGAAGGTATGAGAACCTAGGAAATAAACCTCAGATTCTCCATGTGTACTGTATGAAGAGTCCCTCAGACATACATAGTCTTAAAATAACAAGAGCAGCAACAACAATGACAACAAAAATGATAATGGCAAGGGGAAGCAGAATTTGCTGTTTTCTGGGTTCATCCACTGTTATCCTTTCAATCCTGAACCTTAATTATTTGTCACAAAGATATGTAAAGTTGTTTGGGTATTCTAGGCATTGATAAAATTATTTTGGTTTGATCAAGTGAGTTTATGATTCCATCTTTCATCTACATCTAAAAGAACAGAAGGAGTAAGTGTTGTATCATGTCATTGTATTCAAATTATAATGTCATATTCAAATTATAATGACTTTTTTCCTTTGTTTTCCTTTTAGGCTCTTTCAGGACACTTACTCTTCCATCAGTAAGTATCCATTTAAAAATTTTGTTTGCAGTGGGTAGGCATTTGTTGTAGCAGTTGAGATGCTGCTTGGGTCTCCTGCGTTATATCCTGGGTCAGTTCCAGAGTGCCTGGGGTTGAGTCCTGGCTCTACTCCTGATTCTAGCTTGCTCCTGATCTGTACCTTGTAAGGCAGTGGGTAATGGCTAGGGCAGTTGGGTCCCTGCCACCTCTGTGGGAAACCAGGATTGAGTTCTTGGCTCCCAGCTTTGGCGGGGCTAAGCCCTGGCTGTTGTAGGCATTTGAGGAGTGAATTAATACATGTGAGTTTTTTCTCTCTCTTTCTCTCAAATAAATAAATAAATAGGGGCCCATGCTGTGGCACAGGGTGGTAAGCTGCCGTCTGCAGTGCCGGCATCCCATAAGGGCAGCGGTTTGAGTCCCAGCTGCCCTGCTAATGTGCATGAGAAAGCAGTGGAGGATCGCCCAAAGTGCTTGGGCCCCTGCACCCACGTGGGAGACCTGGATGAAGCTCCTGGCTCCTGGCTTTGGCCTGGCCCAGACCCTGTTCTTGTGGCCATTTGGAATGAACCAGCAGATGGAAGAGCTGTCTTCTCTTTCTCTCTCTGTCTCTCCCTCTCTAGCTGTAACTCTGCCTTTCAAATAAATAAATAAATCTTTAAAAAATATTTAAAATCTTAGTAACTAAAACACATTTAAAATTTTAGTGTCAGAAATACATTATATCACTGAACTATGTAAATATTTTATTGGCTTTTATATCACTTTCAATTTCTTCTGAGTTTGGTTTGAGTTTATTCAACCTTCAGGTTATTTAAGAATAGTATTATTGTAGGGAGATTGATTCTTAGGCCAAGTGATAGCTTAAAACCCCTAGTAGGGGGTTTCCTCTTGTAAAATAGAGAGCCTCACAAGGGAAACTGGCCTGGACTATTAGCATAGAGTTTTAGCTGGGCTGGTTGGGTCCTGCTCTGCCTTCATGGGCTGTACAGTCTTGAGACTGTCATTAGGACTCTGCTGCAACCTTCCTTTCTCTGAAAAGGGTAGGGCCGTGCTCAGCCATGTTGGAACTGGAGGAGAAAGAGTAAGTCCATAATACTGATTCTTTGTTTATAACTTTGACTTTCTTGTTGATAATCGTGTGATTTTTTGGGCACAATTTTGATATTTTGAACTGTCTTATGAAAACATTATTTTCCTAATTACCGAGTTTTTTGGTATCTCTTTAAAGTTTGCTTCTGAGACAGTTGCCTCACTCACCTCACCCTAACTCTAGCCCTGGAATAGGGGATAAGTGATACCATTTCTGTTTCATAGGGATATGCTAGCCTGAGAGGAGATATGAAAGTGTTGTAAAATTTGCTGTGGGAATGGAAAGTGGTTATTATTTTATTGAGAGAGTCATCAGACCTGATTATTAAGTGTTGTTTGGGAACTATTCCCACTTCCCATGACTTTGACTTGGAAGTTGTGCTTAAAATAAATCCTGTGTATGGTTTTATTACCAGCTTTGTTTTGCAGTTTCATATGCTTAACATACAAGAGTTGGCCCCAGAGTCCAACAAAAGGCATGATTTGATATACTTTTCTGAGAGTAGCTAACCTATGGCTTTGGCCATGACACAAAGGATCAGTGATGCTTTGTGAACTAGAGTCAGTCATTACTTCCTGGAGGTTACTTGTCAAGCACAAGTTTGGGGTTGGGTGGGCTCCTTGAGAGTCTCATGCTCCCAAACAATACTCCTAAAACGTACTTAAAGTCCCATATCTAGTATGTTTCTTAGATTTTATTTTTGAACTTAACCTTATTAAGAAATATACTGGACTACCAACAGAAAGTGGAGAGAAAAAAAGGCATGAGTAGGCAGAAGTGGAGAGAAAATTTCTGTCTCCTTTTAAAAAAATTAATCTGAGAGGCAGAGAGTAAGAATAAGAGAAAGACGGAGATACATCTCCCATATGGATCATCACTGGTGCCTCCCAAGGTCTGCATTTACAGGAAGCTGGAATCAGGAACTGGAGCTGCACCTAGGAGTCAAACCAGGCATTGTGATATGGGGCTTGTTGACTTAATTAGCATCTTAATCACTAGGATAAATGCCTGCTCCCAAGACCTGTAATCCCTGTGAAAATAAAACATTAGATTGCATTAATATAATCTAAAAATATAACCTAAACCTCAATGCCTGTGTGTATAACTGTTGAATGGGTTATTTCCAGTGGCAAGATTAAAATAAATCCTATGTAATAAAATTTCCCTATAGCAGAAGTAGGATGGGATTTAAGTTCAGGAATCACAACTTAAAGTCCAGAAACTGGTTTTCTTAAGCAGCTGCAATTTCATAGGCTGGAATTTGAGAAAAGCTGAAAGGAAAAGAATAGGGTAAGGATGTGAGAGATTTTCACAGGAATACTACATGGTCCAAGCCATATTTGTAGAAATTCCCAATAGCTAAACTTCAGTTACTATAATTCTTTTAAGTCTTAAATATATGAAACACTAACTCTGACGTTCTATATTTGTCTTTACTATTATGCCATTTCCATTGTATGTAGATTTAGCAATTATTGATTGAAAGCCTTGCTAGATATTATATTTAGAACCATATTCCTTTTTCGTAAAGCACATTTTTGAAGACTTAGTCATAAAGTGTCTGGGTAAATTTGATACTGCTTGGCAGAAATAGAAGGGGCTATATTTTTATTAAAGTAGGCCCAACCTTTTCTCTAAGATTCATTTATTTATTTGAAAGGCAGTGCTACAGAGAGAGAGGAAAAGACAGAGAGAGAGAGATCTTCCATCTGCTGGTTCACTCCCCAGGTGGCCGCAATGGCCAGGGCTGGGCCAGACTGAAGCCAGTAGCCTGGATCTTCCTCTGGTTCTCCCATGTGGGTGCAGTGGACCAAGCACTTGGGCCATCTGCGACTTTCCCAGGCCATCAGCAGGGAGCTGAATAGGAAATGGAGCAGCCAGGACTTGTACTGGTACCCATATGGGATGCCTGCCTTGGAGGTGGTGGCTTTACCCACCATGCCACAATGCCAGCCCCAGAACCAACTTTTTTTTTTTGCCTGTTTGCATGCTGCTTTATTAGATACCTAAAACTGTCGGTCACCCAAGTTGTTTTTTTTTTTATTTATTTTTTTGAGAGGCAGAGTGGACAGTGAGAGAGAGAGAGACAGAGAGAAGGGTCTTCCTTTTTTCCGTTGGTTCACACCCCAATGGCCCCTGGGGCTGGTGCACTGTGGCCGGCACACTGCGCTGATCCGAAGCCAGGAGCCAGGTGCTTCTCCTGGTCTCCCATGCGGGTGCAGGGCCCAAGCACTTGGGCCATCCTCCACTGCCTTCCCGGGCCACAGCAGAGAGCTGGACAGGAAGAGGAGCAACTGGGACTAGAATCGGCGCCCATATGGGATGCTGGCGCTGCAGGCAGAGGATTAACCAAGTGAGCCATGGCGCCAGCCCCCACCCAAGTTGTTTTAATATTATATTTTTCTTTCTTTTTAAAAAACTTTTATTTAATAAATATAAATTTCAAAAGTACAACTTCTGGGTTATAGCAGTTTTCCCCCATAACCAACCTCCCACCCACAAACCATCCCATCTCCTACTCCCTCTCCCATCCCATTCTTCATTAAGATTCATTTTTAATTATCTTTATATGCAGAATATCAACTTAGTATATACTAAGATTTCAACAGTTTGCACACACACAGACACACAAAATATAAGGTACTGTTTGAATACTAGTTTTACCGTTAATTTGCATAGTACAACATATTAAGGACAGAGATCCTACATGGGAAATAAGTGCACAGTTACTCCTGGTGTTGATTTAACAATTGGCACTCTTACTTATGATGTTGATAATCACCTGAGGCTCTTGTCATGATCTGCCAAGGCTATGGAAGCCTCTTGAGTTCACAAACTCTGACCTTATTTAGACAAGGCCATAATCAAAGTGGAAGTTCTCTCCTCCCTTCAGAGAAAGGTACCTCCTTCTTTGATGGCTCATTCTTTCCGCTGGGATCTCACTCACAGAGATCTTTCATTTAGGTCATTTTTTTCCACAGTGTCTTGGCTTTCCATGCCTGCGAAACTCTCATGGGCCTTTTAGCCAGATCTGAATGCCTTAATGGCTGATTCTGAGGCCAGAGTGCTGTTTAGGGCATTTGCCATTCTAGAGTCTGCTGTGTATCCCACTTTCCATGTTGGATGGTTCTCTCTTTTTTAATTCTATCAGTTAGTATTAGCAGACACTGGTCTTGTTTATGTGATCCCTTTGACACTTTATCCTATCTTTATGATCAGTTACGAACTTAAACTGACCACTTTAACTAGTAAGATGGCATTGGTATGTGCCAACTTAATGGGATTTGGAGTCCCATGGCATGTTTCTAGCTCTACAATTAGGGGTAAGTCTGAGGAGCATGTGCCGAACTGTATATCTCCTCCCTCTCTTATTCCCACTCTTATTTTTAACAGGGATCAATTTTCAGTTAAATTTAAACACCTAGGAATATTTGTGTGTTAATTAAAGAGTTCAACCAATAGTATTAAGTAGAACAACAACAACAACAACAACAAAACTAAAAGGGATAAAGTATTAAGTTGTTCATCAATAGTCAGGGCAGGGGCTGATCAAGTCACTGTTTCTCATAGTGTCCCTTTCACTTCAACAGGTTTCCTTTTTTGTGCTTGGTTAGTTGTCACCGATCAGGGAGAACATATGATATTTGTCCCTTTGGGACTGGCTTAATTCACTCAGCATGATGTTTTCCAGATTCCTCCATTTTGTTGCAAATGACCGGATTTCATTATTTTTTTGACCGCTGTATAGTATTCTATAGAGTACATGTCCCATAATTTCTTTATTCAGTCTACTGTTGATGGGCATTTGGGATGATTCCATGTCTTAGTTATTGTGAATTGAGCTACAATAAACATTAAGGTGAAGACAGCTTTTTTGTTTGCCAATTTAATTTCCTTTGGGTAAATTCCA